TCGTGAAACACATCCTGATAGAAGATTCAAACAGGAAGGAGTTAAGAGCTACCAAAGCAAAGGAAATGAGCTTCAGAGCTAATCTGGTCCAAAACAACAATCAAAGGTACGCCAATAAGTCCCAGTATAATAGACCAAAAAATCCCAACTACAAGCCCAATATTTCCAACTTTAAGAAAAAGAAAGGCAATTGCTATTATTGTGGAAAACCAGGACATTATGCTACCCAGTGTAGATACAATAAAGGTGACAAAGCAAATGCTAAGCCTCCTAAAGTTAATTTAATCAAAGGAGATGAAATAATTGCTGCAGTCATCTCTCAAGTGAACATTGCAGCCAATGTGAAAGAATGGGTGGTAGACTCTGGGCTACTCGGCACATATGTGCAAATCGAGAAGCGTTTTCCTCCTATACTTCAATAGGGGATGATGAAGAAGTAGTCTACCTTGGAGACTCACGAACTACTAAAGTTCTGGGTAAGGGTAAAGTGCGCTTGAAACTCACTTCAGGAAAAACTTTGGCTCTTATGATGTGCTGTATGTGCCAAACATTCGGGCAAATCTAGTTCCTGTAGCATTGCTAGGAAAAGTTGGGGTGAAAGTGTCATTCGAATCTGATAAGGTTGTAATGACAAAAAATAATGTATTTGTGGGGAAAGACTATTGTAACCAGGGACTCTTTGTACTTAACATTTCAAATGTGATTAATGAGAATGATTCTTCTTCTGCTTATATTGTTGATTCGATTTTTTTATGGCATGCTAGATTAGGACATGTTAATGCAAGTTATATAAAGAAAATGCAATCTAGTGGCCTAATTTCTGGTGTTAATGATAAAATGGACAAATGTGAAATATGTGCAGAAACCAAAATAACAAAGAAAAGTTATGTAAGTGTCCAAAGAAAAACTGAATTATTAAGTTTAATTCACACAAACTTAGGTGATTTGAAACAAACTATGACTAGAGGAGGTAAAAGATATTCTGTTACTTTTATAGATGATTACTCTAGATACACTAAACTTTATTTACTTAGAAATAAAGATGATACTCATAATGCCTTTTTATCCTATAAGTCTGAAGTAGAAAATCAACTTAATAAAAGGATAAAAAGAATTAGATCAGATAGAGGAGGTGAATATTTAGCTTTGGATAGCTTTTGTGAACATGAAGGTATAATACATGAAGTAACACCACCTTATTCACCACAATCTAATGGTGTAGCTGAAAGGAAAAATAGAACACTAAAAGAAATGATGAACTCAATGTTAGTTAGTTCTCATGCTCCTGATAATTTGTGGGGGGAAGCTATTTTATCTGCTTATCATTTACAAAATAGAATTCCACATAAAAGAACTGGCAAAACACCTTATGAGTTATGAAAAAATTATAAACCTAATTTGAAATATCTAAAAGTGTGGGGGTGTTTAGCTAAAGTATTATTGCCTGAACCTAAGAAAAGAAAATTAGGTTCTAAAATTTCTGATTGTATGTTTATTGGATATGTTGAATATAGTGCTGCATATAGATTTCTTGTTTTAAGAAGTGATGCACTTGATTGTAATACAATCATTGAGACAAAAAATGCTGAATTTTTTGGAACATATTTTTCCACTGTCTAATAAAATTTCTCATGCACCTGTTGAAATAAATAGAGAAATAACCTCTAATGAGGAATTGAGAAAGAGTAAACGGCCAAGAAAAGAATTTTCCTATGGAAATGATTTTCAAACCTTTCTTGTTGATAATGATCCTTTAACTTATTTTGATACTATTTCTTTTTCTGATAGCAAATTTTCGAAAGAAGCAATTAAAACTGAAATTGACTCTATTATGAAAAATAAAACTTGGATTTGGTAGATTTACCACCTGGTGCAAAACCTATTGGTTGCAAATAGATTTTTAAAAGAAAATATAATCCTGATGGCTCTATTGATAAATACAAAACTCGTTTAGCAGCTAACGGATTTTCTCAAAAATAAAATATTGATTATTTTGACACATTTGCACCAGTAATAAGAATTGCCTCTATTCGTGTTTTATTTGCTCTGGCTTCTATTCATAAACTTTTTGTTCATCAAATGGATGTCAAAACAACCTTTTTAAATGGTGATTTAGAAGGAAGAAATTTACATGGTCCAATCTGAGGGATGTATCATTTCTGGACAAGAAAATAAGGTTTGTAAATTAACTAAATCTCTTTATGGCCTAAAACAAGCTCCTAAATAGTGGCATGAGAAATTTGATCAAGTATTGGTCAAAGACGGATTTTCGTCTATAGAAGTGGATAAATATATATATGTTAAAATTGTAAATGATCAATATATGATAATTAGTTTGTATGTGGATGACATGCTTATATTTGGTACTAGTCTAAATATTGTCAATAGTACTAAAGAATTTTTGTCGTCCAATTTTGATATGAAAGTACGGATGAAGTTAAAATGATATTGGGTGTTAAAATTATAAGGAGAGATGATGGTATAATGTTGTCATAAAAACATTATATAGAGAAACTTCTTAAGAAGTTTGAAAATTATGATGTGACACCTATAAGCACTCCCTATGATGCTAACACTCAATTAAAAAAAATAATGGTGACCCAGTTACTTAGTCGAAATATGTTCAGATTATTGGGAGTCTGATGCATTTAATGAATTTTACAAGACCAGATATAGCCTATGTTGTATGTAGACTGAGTAGATATACTCATAATCCCAACCGTGAGCATTGATTTGCATTGGTCAGACTAATGAAATATTTGAGAGGTACCATAAATTATGGTATTTTATATAGTGGATTTCCCACTGTACTAGACGGATACAGTGATGCTAATTGGATCTCTGATTCAAATGATACAAAGTCCACTAGTGGTTATGTGTTCACCCTTGGTGGTGGTGCAGTAGCATGGAAGTCAGCCAGGCAGACAGTCATTGCTAGGTCAACTATGGAGTCAGAGTTTATAACTCTGGAGTTGACTGGTTCTGAGGCTGATTGGTTAAGGAATTTCTTAGCCAATATTCCTTCAAATAAGGATCTGTTGCCTCCTGTGCCTATACATAGTGATTGTCAAGCGGCTATTGTTATTGCTAAAAATAAATCGTATAATTGCAAAAGTCGACACATGAGATTGAGACATGATGTCATAAAGCAGCTGCTTAGAGATGGAATTATTTCCATTGATTTTGTGAAGTCGGAGCTGAATTTGACCAATCCTCTGACTAAACCCGTAGGAAGAAAATTGATTCTTCAAACTTCAAAAGAAATGGGACTTCGACCAACAGGTAGTCAATAGAGACAGTAACCCACCCTATGTGATTGGTGATCCCATGAAGTAGGTTCATATGGGTAATAAAAAGTCAATATTGACTGTAAAGCACTTCAAATTTAAGTCTCTCCGGAGACAAGTGCTTTGCATAATTGTGAGGATGAGTTAAAATTCTTAATGAATTCATATCCCATTAGGGAGGTGTATTTAAAGCAATACACACTTGATGAATTCACCTATATGAGAGTGGAGTAGGCCGCTCCTATAAGATTCATTGGTCAAATCTTTAGACTTCTCATGACTAACCAGGCAGGCTCACGGCCTAAAAGCTCAAAACTGCGTTAACAGCAAATTATGGGTTGCAATGTGATTGATAAAATCTCTATCATACATCAAGAGTCATTGGTTCATAGAAATTTATATTTCACCAATAATTCTGTAGGTCATGTTTTATCAATCTAAGTTTGGTTCATAGTCCAAAAGACACCAAACTAATTACATTTCATCCAAATAAATCCAACAGATTATTTTCTTATCTTTTGTCCAAAATCTTTTGAAATAGGAAGAAGATTGTTGTAAAATATAAATATATTTCAAGAGTTTTGTCCCACATCAAAAAATGAGAAGGATTGCTTTCTCTGTCCCACATCGGGAAGTGAGAAGAATTGCTGTCTCTGTGCCACATCGGAAGTGGAAAGGGTTACACCTCATTCTAAAATCTATAAATAGCATCCATTCCTTCCTCAGAAATTCACCCTGGCAGTTTCAGTTGATACCTTCTTGATAGCTGCTCTGACTCTCTCTCTCTCTCTCTCTCTTTTATTTCTGTCAGTTGATACCTTCCTGACAATTCTGTTCTCATCTTCTCTCTCTGGTCCTTCTAGTTTGCAACAAGAAGAAAGCTTGTTTTTCTTGTTCGCAACAAGAAGAAGACTTGTTTAATCCTGGGGAGACATTTCAATTTCATGAAATAGTTTCTTAAGACAGTGCTACGCACGACTCAAGCAAATAGTGTTAACATTGTTGTGGCTGTGTTCGGCAACATGGTTAACACCAGTAATACTACTTGTATTAGGCGAAAATCCTTGGATCATAATAACTTCAGGAACATTTTAGTTTGACATAGCTTGTGAGCAGATAACTAACAAACAAAGGCAATCATTATGTTCTGATGCCAAATTGGCTACGAAGGTCTTGAAATTTGTACAAGTTGAAATTTAGTGTATTGTACATCATTTGGGGGAGCTACCTTTTGTCACACACAGACACACAGATAGGTGTGGGGTTTTCAGAACTTATTATGTTGCCCCAACTTATTTGTAGAAATTCATAAGATAATTTACTATAATAATTTGATATTCAGTGTTGAAAGAAATAGATGAATTTTTACGGTTCATTACTTTACTACTATAAGTAGAAGCCATGCTTCAAAGACTTGAAGTGCATTAATAATTTTCTTTGAAATGAAATAAATAAAAACTTTCACTTTGATTTTTCACCATATGATCCATGCACAATGTTTCTTACTTAATATGTGCATTGCTATTATTTGCTCTGTGAATGATACAAATTAAAACCGGCATATATAAATTTGAAAAGAATTCGTTATTAACTGTGCCTCCATCAAAAAATGATCCTAGCTTCGCTACTTCATCCATGCTGCATCCCGACGAGGTGCAAAACTAGAGAAAAACAATGAAGTAGATCCATACTTGACTGTTGATTTGCACAGAATAATTCTAGAAAGGAAAGCTTGGGGAATCGGCTGATTATGTATCGTTCCAAGAAAGAGTATCGAGTTTCTGGAACAGATTTTCATAACACACTTGCAAGTTACTTCCTATACAAAACAACTGAATTATTGTGTTGAAAAAAAAGATCTTGTAATTGACCTTAAGAAGAAAGACAGAGAAAAGGATCAGTAGATCAAAGAAATGAGATATTAAAATTTTAAAAAAAAAAAAGTAAAAGCAAAAAGGTTGGATGTAATACTCTACTTTGCAAACAATTGTCGACGCCCGACTGGTTTGTTTCTCAAAGCAGGTGCCTCACCAATCACAACTTCATCAACTAAATCTTTAAAGATCATGCGCTCAACATCGAGAACCATGCTTGAAACTTCACTGTTGAAAGCTGTCCAATTTTCTGATCGATTCATCACATCCTCCCACAAGATGGTTTTCAATCCATCATCTTCATCCTCTAAGCTGCTCTTTGAGCTTTTACCTTGAAGCAGTTCTACTTCCGAACACAATTCTCTCAGAAGCTTTTGTGCATTCAAAGACTCTCTTGCCAGCTTCAGAGGTCTTAACCATGGATCCGAAGACAGTTCCAGGATTGCTAGTTTTCTGGCAAGAATTTCATTAATGGTATCAAAAATGAGTTTTCTGTGAACTTTTTGTTTTGACCGCAACTGGACAGCCTTTTCTGGAGCACATTCTTCCTTTAAGTAAGTGCTGCCTCCTTTCGTTTGTTCCAATACCAAAAATAGTTTAGGATTGATAGGGGGGCCTGACGGATCAAACTGGAAGTTTGTCAGACTTGAGCCAAGGTCCCTCAGGAGGAGACCAGAGGCTAATAAAATCTCAGAAATGTATCTGTGGTCTGGGTTCGTGTTATCACAAAGAGATGCAATATAATCGATGCGGGCTTCATCATGGCTAGAGTTGAGTCTTCTAAGTTTCTGAACCAGATTTTCAACGTTTTGCAGTTTCTTCCTGCTAATTTCAGATGCAGGGCAAGGTCCAACAGCATTAGTTGCTAAACTGTCCACCACACTACATTCCTCTGTATTGGGAATTACATTAGTCTCATGAGATTCATCACCTGTAAAACAAACAGAAAGTTACTCCACCTATTTTCACTTTGAGAATATCCAATACATATATAGTGGTGTGTGATGCTCAGTGAAAACATGTCCAGATTTGATGCATGGGTCTTGGTGTCTTTTGTGTAAAGCACCAAGTCATCTAGGTAAAATCACATATTGTTTTGTCAAAGAATTTGATAGACATCAGCACCTCAACATGTTTAAGTTGAGTCCATGTATTATTGATAAAAGTATGAGCTACATAAATTAATATATATATATATATATGTGTGTGTGTGTGTGTGTGTGTGTCTTGTTCTGGATTTTTATATTAGCAGAAGATTCATAGAAAGGTTAGTCAAAGCAACACTCTCTGACAATCTTTCAAGTCCTACCTACAGTAACCACCAAAATAATTTATTCAAAAAAGTTACCAAAAGGACCAATTGGCATCCATTAAAAATTCCACTTAAAACACGTAACTCTCGAATTCCTCAAAATTAATTAGAATAATTTTCTTCCTGTTCTATTCTTCCAGGTTATTTCACATAACTGCCAAAAATTGATTATACAATTATCACCCTTTTTACTCCAATTTCAAGACAATTCACCTAGGTCTTCACAACTACTAAACAATAGATATCTTACTTGGATCCAAAAAAAAAAATAGAGTACATTTCTTTTATGATAATTTTCTGAGAAAACCTTTTTCCAGAGAGATAGAGAGAGGAGCAGCAGAAGAAAAATAAAGAATAAACAGATTCTATTTCCCCCACAGATAAAAACCTACATTCATTTGTCTTTGGTCACCCAGTCTCTAATTCCAATGGTACATCATAGTAGACAAAGCATGTCTCAACAGTAACTTTGCAACTGTCATAGAGGGCTGTATTACCTCGGAAGGTCTTTGTTATCCTCTTCACGGGTGATGGTGAGTCATCCATATCCATAGCACTGTCAAGAACTGACACAGGGCTAGGATACTCAGGAGCAACTGTAGGATGCTCTGCCAATGGTTCTTCTTCTATGGCTATGGGCATAGATTTCTGGAATCAACCACAAAAATACATCTATGAAATGAATAATTGCTTATGAATCCATAACATGACAGACAAAACACAAAGTCCAAAAAAACCTACCTTATTAATTAAGTCAGAAACCAGGTAATGGACAGCCTCCATCGATGGACTATAGCCGCTACTAATCTCAGGAGATCTTTCAGCACTGGTGACTTCCACATCCAACCTTGAATCAGATAAGATACTTCCATCTGATTGAGCTGAAATTTCATTTTCATGGTAGCTCAAATTCCTTGATTCATTAGTGTTCTCACTCAGCTGGTCACCACTTAGTTGTAAATTCATAGACTTTTGCCTGCGTCTTCCACCTGGGGAGCTTGATTCTGTTGCTTGCTTATTATTGGGTTGCCTTCTTGTCCTGCTTAAATCCGATGGAGGTATAGGAGGCCTCGACCGCTTCTCCAACTCCTGTCTCTTCGGCTGCATTCTTGGGCTGATGGACCCTGAGCTCTTTAGCGAGCCTGCACTGCTTTCTTTTGGCAACTGTGGAGACTTTACTGATGTCTGTGGAGATTTCAGTACTCTATTGTTGGATTTCATATCTTTGGAATTTCCAGCATTGTCTCGGCTCCCAGACTTAGGAATCTGGTCTTTAGCTGCTCTACTATTAATTGCACTCCTTCTACTGTCAGAAAAGGTACCACCTTGAATTTGTGGGAGACTGGATAAGTCGTCTATGGGTAAGACTGAAGAGGCAGGAATTCCAGATTTTTCAACTAGTTTCGCAGGTTTCATGATGACAATTGGGGACTCAAATTTCCTTGAAGACATGGTCCCCCTTCTGGTGGAAGTAGAAACAATATCATTTTGCAGCTTTCGCTGACTTCCCGTTCTTGCACTTGTAGAATTCGTAAATCTTTGTTCATGGTCCTTTGAAGCAGAAAAGTTTAGAGCCTCCTCTTTCTGAATTTCTAGCAGCCCTTTGGTCTGCATTGCTTCAAGTATCTGTTTAAGAGCTCTGAGATCCTTCCCTGATTGTGAAAATTCAAGATCTTTTATCCTCTTCTCAATTTCACTGTAAACTGAAGGAAAGCTGAAAGGGGATTTAGCTGGAGCTTTCATACCCTTACAAGCTGGCTTTTGAGAACTCCAATTCCCATCCATCTGCTTCCATGGTGCTGGTTCAATAGGAAATCTTGAAATGGGTTTCATTATTGAATCAGGATTTTTCCAGCGTGGTGATCTTGGTTCCTTCCACAAGTTTTTTGTAGAATTAGAAACCTGGATTGGTCGACACAGGTCACTAAGTTCTGAAGACCCAGCAAAACGAATTGTTTCCTCAACTAAAATGTCACTAGCACTCCTTTTACTTTCAGCAGAGGATATAGAATCTGGTAATGCTTCCAAACCCATTAGCTTCGCAACAACACTTGGAGGCCGTGACTGAGTTCCTGATTTTTGCTGCTGACTAGTAACATTGGAATTGGAACTCCCATTTTCCTTCAGAGGAAATTTCAGATATAGGTCAGGTGGCAAATCAGAGTTGAAGTTTCGCATTGAATTTTCTCTACTGTCTAAGGAAAGTCTTGGCAGCTCTTTAAACTTCAGGGAGGATTTTGAATTGTCCTGTGATTCGAAAGGTACATTACGCATCTCCCTTCCATCATAAGAAAACCGAGGAGCCTCTTTTACTAAGGAAAAGGATGACCCATCTTTTGACTGATATGACGATGACCTTGAAAGTTCTCTCAGTTCATTTGTATACCAAGGTGCTTCACGGAGTTTAGAAAGAACTCTAAGAGATTCCTTAAGATCAACAGGCAAGTCCTGCTTCCCATTGACGCCCTGGCCATAAGAGCCGTCATTGGCTCTAGAAAGCTGTACAGGCCCTGGGGAGTCTCTATGCTTGGCCAGAGAATCTGCTGCCCCATCTCTGCCTACAGTTTTAACAGGCAATCCCTGAGCTTCCCTGTACATGGAGTCCTTGACCACTTCCCGCAGGTCAAGCATTTGGCGACCAAACTGTGGGGATGTATTAGCTTGGCTCATTGCTGGATCCCTCGAAGGTGTTTCAGGGAAAATTATTTGGTCAAAAGGCTCTGTTTGACCAGTCTTATTGTAGTCTAGAGATGAGAACGAAGATGAACGGGAGGAGGAAGAAAATGATGCTCTAGAAGACTCGGTGGAAAGTATTTGCCTCTCCAACACATGCTTGCTTGAATGTTTTTCCTGCAAAAACAAATTTTCTATGATCAGATTATCACAAAAATACCCTCCACGATAGTCCACAAGTCCTACCAAATTTCACTGAGTTGGAAATCAAGTGCTTAAACTGATCGGGGTCATCTTATGGGTTTGTAACAAAGAAAGATGGAATTTAAAGAGCATGAATTGAGAAATGTCCTACACACAAGAAGCAAGAATTCAATGCTTTCATGTTTTTGTGTCCATCAAGCACCTCTGGCATTTTCACGAGAAATGATGAGCATGAAACAGTATGCACAGTCAATAAGTTAGGCTTTGAACTTCAGCACTTGAAAACATAGGAACGTTTTTTTTTTTTTAGTTCTGTCCATTTATCTGGAAGTTGTGAAAAGGAATTTGAATCAAATGGATCTTACCACTGTTGCAGATCTGTTGTAGATAGTACTAGACTCTTTTTCAAAAGTAACACCTGCAGAATTGTTCAATGCAATTAGATTTCAGATGTTCTTTGAGAACTCACAATCATCAAGTGGGCAGCTCATCTACACGCATATGCACGAGATGACATAGCTATCATTTGTCCAATAAATGAGAACAACTTCTCACAATCTTTTTCACAGAATTTGACCAACCAGACAAGTTTCATAAGTAGAACTACTTGACAGATGCACACCTTAGTAGAAAAGAAATTATCTTAATCAACAAATATCTTGGCCATAGTCAGGTGGTTATTAGCATACACATTAATACACACTAACTAGCAGAAAACAATGGAAGGTAAAACACCTTATTAGAAAAGAAATTATCTTTATTGATAAATATCTTGACCATAGTCAGGTGGTTATTAGCATATACATTAATTCACATTAACTTGCAGAAAGCATTGGAAGGTAAAATCAATGGCTCCCAAACATAATAACAGCAAATAGGCAGCACACAACTGAATTGATCAATAAGAAAGATTACCAGAATGAATCCTTTTTGTGCTGTGCCCAGTGATGCGCCTGGGAGTAATGATATGTTGGCGATCAAAGAGTTGAAAGATCCCTGTCATACATCCTATTTGCTTTTGCAAATCCGGGTTGTCATCAGTCAGTGAATGTAAAAACTTTGTTGCCATTTCCTTCTTTCTGCGCAATTACTGAATTAAGAAGCACTACTACTTTTCTAAGCTTCTAAAGAGTCATCCCTCCAGTACATTTGAACTTCCTACCCAGCCGTAGGTCCTATGGCTCTCCCCGCTAATTTTCCAGTATCACCCTCTATAGAAGGATGAAATTAACAGAAAACTCTTACAATCAGTAACTCTGAAGACCTCACAGCTTCAGATACCTCAATGTATTAGAAGTTAAAAAATCAATATGAGGTAGCAAGGCAACAAACAGATGAACAATGTTATAGTCCTTCCTTCCCTTCAAACAATAGCTGCTGAACTGCTAAACCCCATCCACAAATGAAGCTTCAACTATAGCCCTCAAAACACATAAACTAACACAATCTTTCCAGAAACAAAAGTTAGCACATTCTCAAAATCTTACCAGAGTCCATTTCTGTTTCTAAATTATTATTTACTAGTCAAGTATCTTTGAAAACCAGCCGAACTGTACAAATCAAGATCGCAACTTTGTAATAGCAATCAATTCAAGATTCTTTCATTATCCCAAAAATGGAATGTTTCTTCAAGAAAGAAGCAATACAAGAAAGAAAAATCACAGCCCAGATAGCAAAATTAATTCTCCATCGGCATACCTCAAAGAAGGAATCAATCAGCCACAAAAGTGCCCAATTTCATCTACAACTTTGCAAAGCAATGTCCCATGTTGATCAGCTGCATTGACTTGACTTGCAAAGAAAAGCAACGGTTGAGTGCCTATCATTACAGATCCAACAAGAGTTGTGCTAGTTTAATCGTGTTTTAATTCATCCTCCTTTAACATAATAGAACACAGCCCAGAAGACGGTTGTTACTAGTACTTATTAATGATTTCAAGATGTGTACTAAAATGTATTGGCAAAATTGTTAAGCCGGAGGAGACTGGTGGACAGTAGTAGCATTAAAATTTTAATAGTTTTTTTTTTTCTGTTATCCTCTTGAAAGAATGGAAGGAAGAGAGGTGGGACTTGGGAGGCATCTAGGCTGGTGGCCGTTCTTACTTTCACACTTCCATGTGGGCTGAGTATATGGGTGGGTCTAAAATTGTCTGCATCGACATGTGATTCTGTCAGTAATGGAGAGAAGGTTTTGTGTTTTTTTTTTTTTTTTTGCCAAATACGTAGACAAACGATATATTTTTAGAAAAGTCTAGAGATTTTTAAAATGTAGGTAAGAAAATTTGATTTCTTGACTAATACTTAATTAGAATTTTAAATTTTTTTTAATGGTCAACTACTCTAAGAGTAGTTGGTTGGGAGAAGGTTTTGTATTTTGTTGCTTTTTAGCATTTGGTTGCAGTTTTCTGATTTTGTATTTCATTCTTTTACCAATTTTTATTTACCTTTATACACATACATAGTTCCTATTTTCACATAAACAAAAGATGTTTACAAAAGTACTAATTTGAAATGCTTACCTAATCCAAAATAGGTTTGGCCAATGGGAGCCTCCAGGGCACTCAGATAACTGTTTTGATATAAGTAAATCTAATTTTAAAAAGTGTCTAAATATATAGGGTGCAATAAATATGAATTGTCCATTTACATAGCAAATTAGGTATAATTTTTATTTCAGTTCAAGGGGAGATTTTAACAAAAGGAGAAAGAAAACATTGGAAGATTTGAAAGTCGAATCAAAGATTTTACAGCAACTTGGTTAATATTCTTATTAGATAAGTTGTATCTTTGAAACTAATTTAGATGTAATTTAAATATACTAACAAGTGTTCGGAAAAGCACCTGTTAAAAAACCTCCATCTACAATATATGTTTTTTCCCATATGATTGCTCAAGTTTAACAAAATTTGGCCGTCTAAATTGTGATTTGTTTTGTAAATTATGCACAACTTATTAATACCCAATCCGGTATATAAGAATGTCAAACACGGTGAACCAGAGACACGTGCAAATTGACAATCAGGGAGAGGCAGTTTAGAATTGATTCATTATACTTGTTGACCAGTTCTTCTCAATCTCAATTATTTCCTAGTTACAACGTGTAATAGAATTTTATCCATATGTCAAAAATAAATTAACTTTGATGGCTAAATTGCCCACCCAATCTCTAATGCACTAACAATCTTTCATTTACTAGTATTTCTTTCTTTTTTTAAAAATATATACAAGTATACAAAGAATCTAACCATACTTTGCTCCAAAAGATGTGCTTAACTGGAGAACAAAATAGAAAAAGGAGACTATCAAAAAAAAATTGGAAAAAAGGAGGACACGATCCGTCTAGTTTAACCATACCATATCTACTCACAACTTATAGGATTAAATGTATTTAGCTCCATGAAGTTTACCCCGAGTTGCACTTCACTTTTTGAATTCCTTTTATAAACATTTCACCCTGTGCTTGAAGTGTTAGGATAAAAGTGTCCTTCTATATTATTTATTTTTTCATTTCTCTTTTTCTTTCTTTCTTTCCTTTTCTACTTTTTCCTTTTGATTTTTTTAAAATTTTCTCTCTTTGCTTATATGGTTAGCAAATCTTTTCTATTTGATATTTTTTGTGTATTACTTTTAATTTGTTTGTACTTATTTTTGTATTCTATTATATCTTTTTGTGTTTAACTTCAATTTAATATTAATCACAAACTTCTGTTATAACAAAGTATATATTAGATGTGTCCATAGTATATCTCGTATAGTATTTAAATTATTTAAATATATCTAATAGTTTAGAGCCTAGGTTAATCAATTATAATATTAAAACAAACGAAAAACAATATCATAATAAAAATTGTTTGATGAACTATACATAGTAAATAAGAAATAAATAAAAGTACTAGTTTTTCAATTATTTAATATACACATTTAAATATTAAGTAATTATAAGTTCTAGCTTGTTTATAAATGTATTAAATAGTCCAGTTGATAGATTACATATGCCTTTTATTATGACAAGCATATAGCATTTTTACATGCCGTACAGTTTGTCATGAATTACCTAATGATATAATCAAATAAATAAAGAAATTGCAACAAGAATGAAATTATGTATAGAAGAAAATTCAATATTATTATAAGCATATAATTAGTAATACTAATAGGAAAGGGACAAAAATAGTGGCATGAGAGAAGGGTAAAAAACAAAAAAAAAATTAAAGTAGCAGAGAGAGAGAGAGGGAGTGAATAAATAAGGAGAACAGTAAAATAATGTGCCAAGGATACTTTTCTCCAAATAAATAAAAAAGGAGATTAAGAGCATATAAAAGAAGTTAAAGGAGGTAAAGTGTAATGTGTGGCAAAGTTTAGGGGGCTTTAGAGCATTAATAAATAAGGAGAAAAGTAAAATAGTGTGATAAAGATACTTTTATCCAAATAAATCAAAAAAGGAATTAAGTGCCTATAAAAGAAGTTAAAGGGTGGGAAAGTGTAATGGGTGGCAAAGTTTGGGGGCCTTTTGTACACTTAACCCTAAAACATGTTAACATATTCACTGTTTTAATTTTTGAAGATTTTCTTCAGTTTTTTAAATCGAAACTTATTCGTCATAAAAATATATTATCTATACTATATGTGTTTTTTAGCTGGCTTACTAAATCATAAGTATTTCAATTATATAGAAAAAACTTTTTGTACTTATAACTAATAATGAAAAGTTTTTCTTCTTCTATTTCTTTTGGAGCATGGATCCACTTTTCGTAAAAGATTATGCATTCGCATTTACGTCTCCCAAGGGAAGGCAAAAGGATTGTACTTCCCAAAAGTTCCCTTAGCCCCCAGCAGATTTAGTCAATTCACTATTACTGCCAACATAAAGGGTCCATATAAAGATAGATCCAACAAATGTTCTCCAGTTTGTTTTGAGCACTCTTGTGAAACTTTACCTAAATTCTATGCAAATTCTTTTTGTTTTCTTTCTGTAATTATGTTGATTAGAATATTTGGTGGTCTTTTTTTACTTCTAGATCTCCTTATCATTTTTTGTCTAACTGGTTCCACCGAGGACTCATTAAAAGATGTTTTTTTTATAATTTTTTTGAAAAATTAAAGTTAAATGGAAAAAGGTGTTTGGCGGCGGAAAAGAAATATTATGCATGTTTGTCCATTCACATGATAATTTTGGTGTAAATCAAAAAACCTTTTTTTAATAAATGTTTTCATTCTTTCGTCGTTTACTTTGTTATTTTGGGGATATGTCAAAATTCTGCCAAATTCTTCTGCTTTTGTCATATGTGAGTCAAGATGTCACTGGTCTAAAACTAATTTTATTGGCTCACACCATTCTTTTGCATTCTCATGTGTGGGTCAATATGTCACTGATTTCTCATATGTAGTGTACTATGAATTTTTTTTAGCTGAAATTTGGTTCAGTATTTCTCAAGAAACTGTATCTTAATAATTTGGACCACTGAGACCCTAATAATCTTCGTTCTTTTATTCCCCTTCTTTATGGAATTCTCTGATATAAATTAAACAAATTACAAACTTTATCCAAAGAAGCTGTTATAAATGTATTTAGTTTGTTTCTTCAATGGGCAAAAAGAAACATGCATTTAGTAGGATTGGAAACCCTAATGTCCACGCAAGAAGAGTCGTATTTATATTGTTCAAATAAGGACAAATATTTGGATTCAACACTTTTTTCTACAAGAAAAATTCGCTAATTTCACCATTGGAAGAAGGAATCTTTTCTCAAGTTGAAGATTATGTATAGTACCAAAGTCAATATTTTCTTCGATCCATTGATCCATTGCTTTGCAACGAAGATTGGAACTCAAAATTTCATGTTGATTAACCCAAATGGAGCAATTGCTAATACCCGCTAGAATAGACATAATGAATTCCAAACATTTGTCGATTTTTCAATGTTGATTTGCACAAGTGGTGCATTGTGTATGTTTTGATTTTAATAACATAAAAAAAGATCAATTGTCTGTGCCATGTAGTGGCAGACCTAGTATGTGGACACCGGAGCAGGTGCCCCCACTGCCTCTTTAAAATTTGACTATTACCACTATAATTTTCAAAAGATTTTATTTTTACTCTCATTAACTTGTTCAGAAGTAAAAATATAACTATAGATAGTTTTGTAAATCTAATTGAAATAGAGTATTAAAGAATCCAAAAAATCTCTTCCATTATTCATTTAGTACCATTAGAACTTCTTGTGGTTAATTGCTCACTAATTGAACAATTTATAGAGACTTTTTTTAGTGAAACAAAATGTAGATTTATGCTATTTAATTGTCCTCTTGATCTCCTTCTA